GGTTGGGAAGGCGGGGGACTGTTAACGGGGACGGACTGACACCCTCCTGAGGGGTGACCTTTATAGAGATTTTTAAAACCATGAAGGGTATGGATAGGGTGAGTAGCTAAAAGCCTTTCCCCCGGAGTAAGGGAGTCCTGGATGTCTGGGGCAGAGGTTTAAGGTGAGGGGGGCGAGAGGTTTAAAAGGGAACTGAGGGTCAACAATTTTATACAGCAGGTGGTTTGTTTGTGGAAGGAACATCCTGAGGAAGTGGTGGATGTAGGTGCAATTAGAACATTTAAAAGACATTTGGATAAGTACATGATGTTGTGTAAATAAGTAATGTTTTGGGGGGATATGCCCGAAGCGCAAGCAGACAGGACTAGTTTTAGTTGGGATTCTGATCGGCATGAACTAGTTGGACTGAAGGGTCTGTTTCTGTGCAGTATGACTGATTCCTCTTCCTGTGTTGACTGTAAACCCTTGCTCCTATTCAAGGGTCACTCGACCCGAAACGTTAAATCTGATTTCTCTCCACTGATGCCACCAGACCTGCTGACCTTTTCCAGCAACTTCTATTTTTGCCTCTCCTTTTGCTGTTGCTGTCCCTCTCCCCAATTGTTCCAAGAAGCCTCTGATACCTTAGCTGGCAGTTTTTTGGCTGGTGGGGTGCGAGTGAGTGGGTTGCAACTGAAAGATGTCGTTCTCAAGAGCCAGGATGGACAATAAATGCCACCCTTATCAGTGACACTTGCATTTCATGAATGAATACAAAGCTTAAATATAACCAAGAACTGCAGCTGCTGAAGGTCTGAAACAAATTGCTGGAGAAAGTCAGCAGGCTTGGCAGGATTTGTGGAGAGAGAGGGAGAGCAGAGTTAATGTTTCGAGTCCAATGACACTTCTTTGGAACTGGACTCCCTGTTAACACTGCTTTCTGTTGCCAGACCTGCTGAGTTTCTTCCAGCAATTTCTGCTTTTGAATTAAAAGCTGAAGCTGTTTTACTTGTTGTTTCAGGGCCTAGTAAGGCGATAAAGTTTCAGTGTCCATTGGAGTTCACCCCATGTCCACGTACAACATTCTGTGATCTTGTACCAGAGAAAGTGAATGATCCCTCTACAGAACTCTGGCTCATTAAAGCACCCATAGACTTTGATCCGCAGAGGTGAGTATGCAGAGGATTCAATCACCTGCAAACCTCTCGTTTTAAAGTATGATGGGGTAAGATGGCACGGTAGTAATGTCACTGCACTGGTAACCCAGAGGCGTTGGAAAAACTAGTTCAAATCCTATCAGAGCAACTTGTGGAACTTCAATTCAACTAAAAATCAAAAACAAGCAAGGAAAAACTCAGGTCTGTCAGCTTTTTCTCGAGAGAAATAATGTTTCACATCTGGTATGACTTTAGAATAGAGTCTGGAATTGGAAGCCAGTCTCAGTGATGGTAATCACAAAACAATCGGTAGTTGTTGTAAAATCCATCTTGTTTGCTAATGCCCTTTTTACGAAAGGAAATCTGCTGTCCTCGTCTGGTCTGGCCTGGCCTGTATGTGACTGCAGACCCATATTTTGACTGCCCTCTGTAAAGGTTGAGCCATTCAGTTCATGGGCAGTTAGGGATGGATAACAAATGCCAGCTATGTCTACATCACCTGAAAGTGTGTGTGTTAGCTATAGCACTTGTGTTTTAAGGAACGTTAAACTCTGATTTCTCTCCACAAATGCTACCAGACCTGCTGAGCTTTTCCAGCAATTTGTGTTTTTGTTTCTGATTTACAGCGCCTGCGGTTCTTTCAGTTTTTAGTTGAATGGGTGTCAGCTATAGCACTTTCCACTATGAATTCAGAACGTTTTGTGTGGTTGAAAGGGAGTGCTGCATGTGCTGTCTTTCAGATGAAAGATTCAACCCTTTCAGCGCCAGAAACCCAGGTTTGATTCCACCCTTGGGCGACTGTCTGTGTGGAGTTTGCATGTTCTCCCCGTGTCTGCGTGGGTTTCCTCCCACAGTCAAAAGATGTGCAGGTTAGTTGATTTGGCCGTGCTAAATTGCCCCATAGTGTCCAGGGATGTGCAGGCTAAGTGGATTAGCCATGGGGAATGCAGAGTTCCAGGGATAGGGTACCGGGCTGGGTCCGGGTAGGATGCTGTTCAGCAGATCAGTGTGGACTCGTAATGGGCCAAATGGCCTGCTTCCACATTGTAGAGAGTCTATAAATGTAAAAGGGCCCAAGGCACAATTCTAAAGGAAAAAAGGAGTTCTGCCTGGAGCCTTGGCTAATACTTGTCTCTCAACGTCATCAAAAAGACTTGTCTGGTAATTGTCACTTTATTTTTTGGAACTTGCCATGTACAGACCGGCTGCAGCTTTTCCTATAAAAGCAACGCTACATGGAAAGCATATTGTGTCTGGAAAGCATTCTGGAATGTCCAAATAGGCAGTACATAAATGCACGTTGGTTATTCAGCACCTCAGAGTGGTAGGGGGTGCGAGGTGTTGGCAGCGGGAAGGAGAGAGAAAGAGAAAGATGTGATTCTATTTGCACATGACTGTAACTGTTCAGTATTTTTTTGTTTTTTTTTTCTACTTTAGCTTTTCTGGAAGGAAGATCCCGTTGGTTGGTTTTCAGACTCTTAAATCGAAGACGTGCAAGGACAAACTTTACAATGTGTTTGGCACGCCCAGAGCAGGAGGGGGAGTCTGCCTGGTCCTCCCTTCAGCAACAGAGAGCTGTCCACCGTTTGCTGGTTCCATCACCATCGGTGAGAGTTGGGAGGACACTGGTGGTAACGACGAGCCACACTCCATCCCCACCAGTCCGGCTCCCAGCATCCCACCAGGCCTCAAGCTGAGGTTCCAGCCCTTTGGCGCAGCCCCACCTAGCCAGCTGCCACATAAAAAACCCTGCCCGGTAACAGCTGCTGCACCGCAGCTCGGCGACGTGAGGGAGCTTAAGGCCAAGAGGAGGAAGGGGCTGAAAGGAATGCTAGCGGTCAGCGGAGATGAGCCTGACCACAAAGCAGTGGCTGACAGTCCGAGAAAGAGGAGAAAGAGCAAAAAAGAGCAGGAGGAAGCTGGCTTCGAACACTCTGATATAGCAGTACTGGATCCCAAGAACAAAAAGCGGGAGAAGAAAAGGAGGAGAGAGAGAGAGATCCCGCAGACTCCACACGCCCAGGTGAATAAGGGTCACAAGAAGAAAAAGAAAAAAGATAAACATTAATTGTTCACTGGAACACCTGAGGACATTACCCATTTGAAAAAAAATACTTCTCCAAGCCACATACAATCATCGCTAACCTTATGGTAAATAGGCTGTGCTGAACTGCAACGTATTTGAGAAACTGCCCCTTCCTGTCTGACTGCACGTTTGCAAATTCCAAGGGTGATGTACGATTTCAAGTTCCAGCAGACCCACGTCTCTGTCGTGATGCAGACGCTTGCTGTTCTGCACCCAGCTCTGTGATCCCGGAATATCCACTGGTTCCTCCTTTCAGGATTGCTACACTTGTCCCAATGCAATCCTTTTGTATACCGAAGAATGTGTATTTTTTTTTAACAAAGAATAAATCAGTATTACTTGGAATACGGGTTCGGAATCTCATGGCAGTCAACGCTGAACATGCCGACTCTCTCCTTCGATTCCACTGTGGCTGAGATCTCTCCACTATCTTGGCCAAGAGTTGCATAACTAAAACAGGCAAGAAACAGCCCATTTTAAATAGACACTCACTCGACTGACAGGATTTGCCTTATGAGAAACTGCTGGACCTATACTCACTGGCATCGAAAGATGATTCAGAGGGAGTTTGTTAGGGTAGATGTTGTGAAGATCTTTCCTCTTGTGGAGGAACTCTAGTACAGGAGGCACAAATGCAAGATAAGGGGTCTCCCATATAAAATTAAAATGTGGAATTTCACCTGAGGATCACTTGTGTTTGGAATTCTCCCCAGAGAGCAGTGGAGTCTGGATCACTGTCAAACTCAGACTTGAATATTTATTTTTGATAGAAATTGGACTTTTTTTAATTCATTTGTGGGATGAGGGTGTCACCAGCTAGGCCAGCATTTATTGCCCATGCTTAATTACCCAGAGGGCAGTGTAAGAGTCGACCACATTGCAATGGGTCTGGAGTCACATGTAGGCCAGAGCAGGTAAGGATGGCAGTTTCCTTCCCTAAAGGACATGAGTGAACCAGATGGATTTTTCCTGACAATCGACAATGAATTCATGGTCGTCATTAGACTCTTAATTCCAAATTTGTATTGAATTCCAATTCCACCCTCTGCCGTGGTGGGATTCAAACATGGATCCCCCCAGAACATTACCTGGGACTCTGGATTAACAGTCCAGTGATAATACCACTAGGCCTTTGGAGTTAAGGATTATGTGAAGCAGACAGTAAAAGTGGAGTTAAGGTTCTAGTCAGATCAGCCATTACCTACATCTGTAGTTATTTGGGAATGGTATTGCTGGCGAGACCAGTATTTATTACTGGGGAGGAGGAAGAATCTCTATTACTAATTAGTAAGGATACAGGGCATGGAGCATTGTTCCAAGAACCTGTGGTCTCAGTGCAAACAGGAAGATTAATAAAATATCTGAAACAAGCAGTGAGCCCAGTGTGAGGAAGCTAAATTTTTGAGGGACACTCAGTTTTATTCTTAACCCCAGGGACCGTCCAGTCAACAGGACATTACCACAGTTAACGTTTCGGACCCGAAACGTTAACTGTTTTCTCCTTCACAGATGCTGCCAGACTTGCTGAGCTTTTCCAGCAACTTTGTTTTTGTTCCTGATTTACAGCATCCGCAGTTCTTATGGTTTTTATTAGGACATTACCACAGCTGGACTAGAGCAGTGCTCAGCTTAACTCCTCCAGTCTGTTTCACAATGAACATCACCAATGCCTTTTGCTCAAAGCTTTAAAAAAAACCCAAAAAGAAAGCATTTATGTTAAGAATAATTTTAATTATTTGTACACTGACCATAAGACTTTTCACTTAATAGAAAACAGTGTACAAAACTCAAGTTACAAACGAATACTGTTTGAAACACAAACTGCGGGTTTTCAAATCTCCAAACATCAACAGTCAAACAGCCATGTGCTGTCCCAATACCTGAGCAGCTGCTGGAGATCAGACAATGACCACTAATGGTGTTTCCCTCCACTGGCTGCCTTTCTCAGATTTGGCACTGATTTCCCATTGGCTTTCAGCTTCCACATGGATCCCAGCTACTCCCCTGCCAGGTTGGACACTTTTGTTCAGATGTGGAAGGGTTGCATTGGGAGTGTCTGTTTTTGCGGGGTTGGGGTGATTGGATTTCAATCCTGCCCTGGTCAAGCACCGAATTTTAATGTATCAGTAAGCTCTCTCTTCCCTTCCCTCCGAATATCTCGTTTACTGTGCAATGACTTTGCCCTTAAACATAGGCTTTTCACATGCAAAATCTGATATAAAACTGGGGCTGAGGTTTTGGATGGAAGGAATGGAGGACAAGAGTGAGAAATGCTGCTTGAGGTTGTTATTGCAGATTGGGCATCATGGAGGTGTCATGCCAACTGGAGTATTCCTGCTCAGTCCCAACACTGCCAGGCAGCCTGGTCCCATTCTCTGCCTTGTCCACGCAAATAGGAGTAAGAGGTACTGCAACGTTGAATGGAAAACCCTGGCTGAAAGTTAATTGGAACCACCCCTCTACATCCATCTACCACTGTCCTGGTCGCAAGAGACTAATTCAGAAATGGATCTAACTGGGACCTTCTGTACTGTGCAGCTCACTAAGGGAGCTTACAATGCAGTGGAAGATGGGGCGTGACACAGATTCCTTGTTTGTGGGAGCTGGGAGGAAAGGTTAGAGGGTTAATCCGCGTTCTCCTGACGGTTCGGGGGCCTGTCGGGTTCAGAATTCATCAGTTTCTTCATCCAGCAGCTGGCAGAATGGCCCGCCACATCTTTTTTACGCTTGAACTTCTCGCCGCACACGCCGCAGGGATAGAGGTGGTTCTCGAGGTGGCGCTGCAGCTCCGGTGCGCCACGGAAGATCTCGAAGCAGACCCGGCAGAGGACCTGGCCCGGGGAGAGGTGGCCGGCCATGTGCCGCAGGTGGCCGTGCTTGCGGCGGCTGCCCTGGCCACACAGCCGGCAGGCATAGCGGGTGTCGCCAGCGTGGGAGGCCGCGTGGAGCCGCAGCTCGCGCTCCCGCGGGAACTCCTGCCCGCACGCATGGCAGGGGAACCCCCCGACCCTGCCTATGTGGCTGGCCACGTGCGCGGTCAGGTGTCCCCGCTGTAGGAAACCTTTGCCACAGACTTGGCAGGAGTGTTTACACGGCACGCCGTGTTTCCTGGCGCTGGGTGGTGCCGACGCCTTGGCCAAACGCCGCTGCTTCCCTGGCGCGGCCTCCGTGCCCTTCTTGTGACAGGATGTCCCCAGCTGCTTGCCTGCCTTTGGCCCTTTCTTGCTGCGCCCTGTCACTGCACCCCTGGACAGCACGCAGTCCAGGGCCCGGCTCCTCTCCCACTCCTGGCAGCTCTGTTGATGCCCAATGTCTGGGTGTGCACTGCCCTCTGCCACGCAGCACCGCAAGGAGGTGGTTGGGGGCGGATGGGCACACTCCACCTTCCCCCGGGCCCTCGCCCGGCTCCGCGGAGGCACACATCGCCTCTCTGACGGTTGGCAGGTCTGGCAACTCCAGGCTCTCCGGGGGGCCCGGCCCTCGTCCTCGCTGGGCTCCGGGCTCGGGGGCAAGGCCTCGCTGTCAGAGGTGGAGCTGCTACCGGAGCTGGAGCTGCTAAAGGAGCCATCCTCCGAGGGGTTCTCCAGCACCAGGTCGTCGTCTCCCGGGAACCGCACCTCTCCCTCCTCCAGCTCGTAATCCTCCGGAGGGCGATCCAGGGAGACCCCGGGCTCCCGCTCCTCACCTCCCACCCTCACCACCGTGATGCCGCTGAGCTCCAGCACCAGGGGGTGGTGCTCCCCCTGCGACCCTTCCTCGGGGGCTTCCACCTTCGGCGGCTTCAAGCCGCCGGCCCCCTGCTCCTCAGGAAGGCCCCCGTCCCCCTCCCACCTCCTCTCGGGGACCTCTTGCTTCACCTCGGGCACAGGGCTCTGCCCGTCGGCAGCGGCCATCGCCGTGCCATCCCTCGCCCGCAGGCAGCTGGGCAGATGTTCCTGCAAAGTGTGGGGCTGCTCGAAGGCCAGGCCGCAGAGGGGGCAGCGCAGCTGGAGCTGTATACCCGGCGGCCCCTCGGGCGTTTCCGATTTGATGGAGACTGGAGGCTGGTGGTGGTGGTGGTGCTGCTGCGTGGGGGCAGCGTCCGGCCTGTTCCTGTCCCAGTGGCACAGCTCCACGCCAAAGACCAACCTCTCCCCCTTGCCACCCGCCGAAGCCTGAGGGGCTGCCTCCTCATTCCCTCCAGCCGCCACCGCTGGGACGGGGAACCGGGAAGCGTTGTAGAGCTTCAGGAAGTTGAGGGAGGCCCGGAACCTGTCGGGGTCGGGAGGCGAAGACGCCAGGCGGCCCGTGTACATCAGCTGCAGGATCAGGTCGAAGTGGTCAGGGCTGACGGCCTGTGAGCTGAGGCACACGTGTGAGGCCTCGGCCGGCTGATTCACAAAGAGCTTGTGGAAGTAGGAGCTGCAGGCTGCTAGCACGACCCGGTGAGCCCGGAAGTGGACATCGCCCACGGTTATGGAGCAATCGCACAGGAAGCCGTATTCCAGCTGGGAGCACAACTGCTGCAGTACGTGGTCGCTGTGCCTGGTCAGCTGCATCCTGTCTGCCCCCTGAAACAGAACCACATATGCCACATGTTAATAACCTCCCCAAGAGAAAGCATCTTCATCCCTCACAGCCCCAAGAGAACCACAAACTCATCCCCCCACCCCCAGGGCAACAGCAAGAACACTGGCAACATGACTGAGCGAAGCAAGGTGGTCTAGTTGGTTTACCCTTTCGAGGCTTACAAATAAGGAATAAAAAGAAAGAGTGGCATAGTTACTGGATAGAACCTCAGGCTAATATCCTAATCATAGAGTGGAACAGCACAGAAACAAACCCTTTGGTTCAACTCACCCATGCTAATCAGATGCCCTAAATTAATCTCGTCCCATTTTGCCAGCATTTGGCCCATAAACCTTTATTCATGTTCCTGTCCAGATGCCTTTTAAATGTTGTAATTGTACCAGCCTCCACCACTTCCTCTGGCAGCTGGTTCCATACACGTACCACCCTCTGTGTGAAAAAGTTGCCCCTTAGGTCCCTTTTAAATCTTTCCCCTCTCACCTTAAACCTATGCCGCTCTAGTTTTGGACTCCCCTACCCTGGGGAAAAAAATCTCGGCTATTTACCCTATCCATGTTCCTCATGATTTTATGAACCTCTGTAAGGTCACCCCTCAGTCTCTGATGCTCCAGGGAAAATAGCCCCAATCTCTTCCTATAGCTCAAACCCTTCAGCCCCAGCAACATCCTTGAAACCCTTTCAAGTTTCATAACATCTTTCCTAATGCAGGGAGACCAGAATTGAACACAGTATTCCAAAAATGGCCTAGCCAATGTCCTGTACAACTGCAATATGACCTCCCAACTCCTGTATTCAATGCATTGACCAATAATGGCAAACGAAGGAAACATCTTCACTATCCTATCTATCTGCAACTCCACCTTCAAGGAAACACGAACCTGCACTCGAAGGCTGCTTTAAGGAGAGATGATGGCCTAGTGGTTATGTCATTAGACTATTATCCCAAAGACCCAGGTTCAAATCCTGCCATTGTGGGAAGGCTTATGAAACTGTTCCTAATTGTTCCTGATTTACAGCATCTGCAGTTCTTTCATTTTATTTTTATTCATTCTTTTGTTACGAGACTGATGCTGGAATAAAAATCACCTCTCACTCTTCTGAACTCCCAATGGATACAAGCCTCGCCTCACAAGTCAAGCCATTTTTAAAAGATTCAGTCACAAGTAACTGTCTAAGAGGCCTTACGGTTTTAAAACACTGGGTTTAGGCTCCAGTCTCTCTGAAGACATGGGTTCAAATCCCACCACTGTCAATATTATAGGCCAGTGCACTTCGTGAGCCTTCCTTAGTGATGGAGAAGATGCAATGTGCTATTCCCTTTTTAGGTGAGTTGACAGTCGAGTGCTATAATTGATAGAGTATCAATCCAAAGACCCAAGTAATGTTCTGGGGACCAAGTTAGAATCCCGCCACAGCAGATGGTTAAACTTGAATTCAATAAAATTCTGGAATTAAAAGTCTAATGGTGACCATGAAACTACTATCAGTTTTTGGAAAAACCTGTATAATGTCCTTTAGGGTAGGAAACTACTGTCCTTACCTGGTCTGGGCCTACATGCGACTCCAGACCCACAGCTGAGTGTTTGATTGGTAACTGCCCTATGGGCAATAAATGCTGGTTTAGCCAGTGATACCTACATCCTGTGAATAAATTTTTTAAAAGGGTAGCTTGTTTTAAGAAGCTAGACAGGCTGAACTATACATTTTTTTAAAAAAACGGGGGCAATGCCAGAACGACAACCCAGTGTGGAGAAGATGTTTCCCCTTGTGGGAGAACCTGGAACTAGGGTCACTGTTTAAGAATAAAGAGTCACCCCCTGAGATAAGGTGAAACGGTTTCTCATGTGAGTCTTTCGAATGCCCTTCCTCAAAAGGCATTGGAAGCTGAGCCCGTGAATATTTTCAAGGCAGATCTAGGTAGGACCTTGATAACTGAGGGGTTGAAAGGTTTTCGGGGGGTATGAGACAATGCCATCATTAATCTTTTTGGTAACTTCCTCAAAGAACACAACCAAGTTTGCGAGACACGATTTTCCTCGCACAAAGCCGTGCTGACAATCCCTAATCAATTTCCGCCTCTCTAAATGTCCATAAATCCTACCTTTTACAACCACCTCCAACAATTTAGCCACAACCGAAGTCAGACTCTCAGTTCTATAGTTCCCCGATTTCCGCTTACAACCTTTCTTAAACAAAGGTATACATTAACCACCCTCCAGTCATCAGGCACCTCATCTGTAGTTGTAGATGTTGCAAATATTTCTGCAAGGGGTCTCATAATTTCCTCCCTTCCCACAATGTTTCGGGATACATTAGATCAGGTCCCAGAGATTTATCCACCTTTATATTCTCTAAGACCCCTGAACTGCCTCTTCTGTGATGTGAACTGTTTTGAAACATCAAAGTTTATTTCTCTGAATTCTCTAGACTCCCATTTCTTTATCCACAATAAAAACTGATGCGTAATATTCATTTCGTGTCTCTCCCATCTCCTGGGGTTCAACACAAGGACGATCTCCTTGATCTTTAAGAGGCCCTACCCTCTCTCTCGTTACCCTTTCGCTCTTAATGTATTTGGAGAAACTCTTTGGATTATCCTTAATCTTATCTGCCAATGCTATCTCATATCCCATCTTTGCCTTCCTGATTACTCTCTTAAAAGTGCCCCTGCACTAAACTATAGAGAATATAGTACAGGCCACAGGCAGAACAAACTCGAGGGGCCAAGTGACCTATCCTTGTCCCTAATTCGAATGTTTTAAACTCCCCATTAACATTTCCCTTGCATTCCTTGTGGCAGTGTCCCAGATATGAATCCTCAGATCCTGGAGGCACCAATACAATCCAGAGGATTTAACATCAGGATAGGGGAGTGGAATGGGGACAGAAAGAGCGGAAGGGGTCCCGACCTGAAACATCAACTTTCCTGCTCCTTTAATGCTGCCTGGCCTGCTGTGTTCATCCAGCTCCACACTATTATCTCTGACTCCAGCATCGGCAGTTCTTGCTATCTCCGAAGGGGCCCTGGAGGTGCATTAGAATGAGATTGCCATATATCTCATCCCGATTACTGGAGAGGCAATGGCCTAGTGGTATTATCGCTGAACTGTTAATCCAGAAATCCACGATGTGGAGGTGCCGGTGTTGGACTGGGGTGGAGAAGGTCAAAATTCACACAACACCAGGTTATAGTCCAATAGGTTTATTTAAAAATGCAAGCTTTCAGAGCTCAGCTCCTTCCTCAGGCGTAGTACAAAAGAGGGTATAAGACACAGAATTTATAAGCAGAAAGGTAACAGCCATAAAACTGGCCGCCTCTTGTTGAAACTTTAATCGGTTAGGAAGAAGGCTACTGATTAAAATGCAAAATCCAGATTCCCCTCAAGTCACTGTCCCGAGGTAATTAAACGTTTTAGCAATGTATACAAGAGGTGATATTTCAGGTCAGACAATGCATTTTAGCCTCTGCTCAGCGATTTTGCGTTGCAGTATATCTCGAACTCCACCTGTTCCCCCACTGAGACGGAACATTCCTGTCTGGCGAATGTTGCTCGGTGTCCATCCATCCGTTGTCGTAGCGTCTGCATGGTCTCACCAATATACCATGCCTCAGGGCATCCTTGCCTGCAGCGTATGAGAGAGACAACATTGGCCGAGTCACATGAGTATCTGCTGTATACGTGGTGGATGGTGGTCCTACATGTGACTGTAGTACATTGTTGTTTCAGTGATTCCTCACCATGAGACCAAAGAAAGAAAATGTTGTCAATGTATGTGGTGTATACCACTGGTTGGAGGTTCTGCATAACAAAGTAGTCTTGTTCGAACTTGTGCATGAAAATGTTGGCATATTGGGTGTGAATTTGGTCCGTATGGCTTGTCAAAGGTGAAGACATTGTGGTCGAGGATGAAGCAGATGAGTTGTAAGATGGAAATTGGCAGTTGTTGGTATTGAGTACTTAGGCTGTTGCAGTGATGCTGTAGTCATGGGGGATGTTTGTGTAGAGTGATGAAACGTCCATTGTGATGAGGAATGTATCTGGTTTGACTGGTCTGTGGGTGCTGAGTTTCTGTAAGAAATCTGTGGTGTCGCGACAGAAGCTTGAGGTTCCTTGTACAATGGGTTTCAAGGTGCCCCCAACATAGCCAGAGAGCTTCTCACACAGGGTCCCATTGTCTAATGGTGAGAAATCACTGAAATGACTACATAGCGGTATCAAGTTTTATCCCACAATCAGACTTACCATGGACTATTCTTCAGAATCAGTCTCATTCCTGGATACACGCATCTCCATCAGGGACGGGCCTACCGCAAGCCCATGGATAACCTCACGATGCTGCACTTCTCTAGATTCCACCCTAAATATATTAAAAAGCCATTCCCTACGGACAAGCCCTGCACTTACACAGAATCTGCTCGGATTAGGGGGAATGCGACAGACACCTGACGGTGTTGAAGGATGCCCTCATAAGAACAGAATACAATGCTCAACTCATCGATCGCCAATTCCGTCATGTCACAGCAAAAACCCATAATAGGGTACCAATAGGGTACCCTTCATCGTCCAGAACTTCCCTAGAGCGGAGAAACTACGCCATGTTCTTTGAGCCTCAACACATTATCAACGATGATGAGTACCTCACCACGATCTTCCCTATGCCTCCACTTCTCGCCTTCAAACAACAGCCAAAGCTGGAACAGTTCACTGTTTGCAGCAAACTACAGCCTTCAGGAGGACATGGACCACAACACCACACAACCGTGTCATGGCAACCTGTGCAAGACATATCAGACCATCGACATGGACACTATCAACACGTGGGAACACCACCCACCATGTATACAGCAGATACTCATGTGACTCAACCAATGTTGTCTATCTCATACGATACAGGCAAGGAGACCCTGAGGCGTGGTACACTGGCGAGACCACGCAGATGCTACGACAACAGATGGATGGACACTGCGCAATGATCACTGGATAGGGGTGTTCCCTCCCACTTCAGGGATCAAGGACATTTAGCCTCCAATCTTCGGGTAAGTGTCCTCCAAGGTGGAGTTCGAGATATACTACAACGCAAAATCGCTGAGCAGGGGCTGATAGCCAAGTTCCACACCCATGAGGCTGGCCTCAATTGTGATCTTGGGTTCATGTCGCACTACAGGTGACCCCACCACCTATACACACACCCTCATACACACACACACCCTCACACTCACACACCCTCACACACACAAACACACACACGCACACACCCTCACACACACGCTCACACACCCTCACCCTCACACTTACATCCTCACACAAACACACCCTCACACACACATTCACACCCTCACTCACACTCACACCCTCACATACACTCACACCCTCACACACATGCACACCCTCACACACACGCACACACACACCCTCACACACACGTACACCCTCACACACCTACACCCTCACACACACCTACACCCTCACACACACACACACACACACACACCCACACACCCTCACACACCCACACACTCACCCCCCCACACGCACACATTCACACCCCCACACACACCCCCACCCCACACACACACACAC